AAATTCAGATGTATGAAACACTGCATACGCCGAATCTCACGCATATTCTTTTGTACATCCGAATGAACGTGAAACTGAGCGCAACATGCATGAGCACAAAACCCCTCCCTGCCTCCCCCCCTTATGAATATGCTAATGACTCTACTTTGGCAAAACCCAACGAAAAAGCAATGGCAAAAGCAAGCAAAAAGAGAAACTTTGAACAGTGTGAATTGGAGGTGCTGATTTCGGAGGTAGACCGGAAGAAAACGGTGTTATTTGCAAGTTTGTTCTCCAAAATTAACAACAAAAGAAAAAAATAGAGAGGGGAGAGTTTAGCTGATGCGGTTAACACAGTTGGGTCTGAAGATCATAGGTGTAAAATGTTGTAGCACCCTTAACAGTCTGGGTGGCGCAGCTTGTAAAACGCAAGTTAACATGTTTTGACACGTTCAAGCATGAACTCGCTGGTTCGAATCCAGCGTCTGATGAACTCTTTCTTCTTTTTTCCCCGCTACATATCAGATTTTGCCTACTATTTATCACGAGAAAGACAAGTAGGAATCATTAATAAGTCTGTGCATCATATTTTATTTGCACATTTATTGAATGGAAATGTTTCTGATTCACGCATGCAAATTCATCTTCAGGTGGCCCCTTTATAGCAATGTGCGTGTGGTAGATTGCTCCCATTACAATGAGAAAACAGGCGACTGCTGCAAATTGCACTTTAATGTTTGGCTGGTCAACTGTATGGTATGGAAACCTTATATACCTGCTAGATGAACCCGTCTCATACAGCAGCCATTGCAAGACTCAGACACTTTGTAGAGTGCAATTTAACACAACTGCCTCTAGGAGTCGCCAATGGAAATAAAACAATTGCGCTGCGCTCATTCCCACGTTCAGTTCATCGTTAGTAAATCCAAACGTGAGCGATTCTGAGCGTGAAACCTGACATACGCAAAGTTTTTGTGTGTACGCAGCGTTGATACATGAGGCCCCAGGGGTCTGTTCTTCGTACGTGGATTACTCAGCTGGATTTGGTTATTGACGATTTGACATGATCCAGGATCGTTTCGTTCTTCAAAGCTGATCTGAGAGTTGTTGTCATAGCAAAAGTTCTGCTAGCTCAAACCTGATCGAAAGCAGGTTTAATTCATATAAACAGGATTAGATCGGCTCAGTTCAAGCAAAGATAATACAGAAAGTATGTACCGAATTCTGATATTTTCTTACAGTAGTAGTTATATACACTTAGGAAAATACTATTTTTTTTAAAAACTATATAAAGTTATAGTTATTAATAAAATAAAGTTATATATTAATAAAACTTATGCAATCTGCACCCCCGAAATGAAAGTAGAAAGACTGCCACCTGGTGGTGCAAAGAGAAAACTTATTGATACGTACTTTTTAGATCGCTTTAGTACAATTTGTGTATGATAATAGAAACAATAAGTGACTTTTTAAAAGCAATAATAGATATGCAGTGATAAACATGATTTGACAGTTAATATGACGGTGATTTGATGCTTCATAAAAGTTGCTGACGCCTTTACCAATATCAAAATGCTTTTGTAAACATCTAGTTATTTTTACACCGGATAAAAAAACGGCTACTATAATACTACTATGGCTACTATAATAAGGAAAATCCGCTCTAACTGTAAAACTAAATAAACTGCTCGACACATGAAAGGGCCAAGCATGCAGCCCACAACAAGGTGTAAAGTTATTGCGTGTCATATTTAACAAACCGTTTACTACTAATTTGATGTAATTTTGCTCACATGGATAATTGAATATTAATCAGATGATGTCATTCCGCTGCTGTGCCGTCAGCCAATCGTTGCATTGCTGATCATGATTTCGAGGATGGATAGATCTGTCCTTCACAACACATACAGCGATCTCAGATCAGTTCATCCAGACATTTTTATCTGATTCACAAAGTTTTTTGAAGAACCAAACTAGCCAGAGATCAGTTATCAAGATCAAAAGATCCGGGATCTGCCAAATCATCTTAGATCATTCAAGCGAGCTACGAAGAACAGACCCCAATAACACATGTTTTGAGCTGCTGACAGTCATATATGTGTACTCTTTCAGTGTTTAAAGACAGACCTTAGTCTAAAGGATTGAGTTACTCGGTGTACAGTACGTTTATATCACTACAGTATTATGGGCTGAAAGATCTGCTGTAGATGCTGCTCTCCGAGTGTAAACATGTAAACACCACAATCAAACATTACCGTCATGGAAGATTTTCACTGCATTTGGTGACGGGATAGTCTATTCACACATGGCTTTCTGATGCCACCGAGTGCATCTAAGTTACTGAGGAATGCAGAGGCTTTATTTTCTCCCTTTTGCCGTTCGGTATCAAGCACTCCATTAAAACTACACTCTTCCAGCAGTGAAAACTGCAGTTAAAGTCCACCATTTAATAATACGGCAAAATATTTGATCACTGATGTCCATGTAAACACAGTCACAGTTCTCCTCTGCGTCTGTGTGTTTGTTTTGCCTCTGAAAATCAGCGCGTTCCCAAACAGACACTCCCATTTTTATGCAAATTTTTTTGCACCTTCCCTCTCTCACTCCCCCCTAAACAGAGCTGGACACGCCCACTTTCCTGACTTTTTCCAAACTAGAGGTGTGAAAACACTCTGCTGGAACGGGGGGTTTCGTGGCCCTTTAACAAAAATAAACATTAGTCAGGTTATTGCCGTAAACTAAAAATAATGTTATTTAAAATACAATTTCTGGTTATTACAGTAAACTATAAATGATGTGTTACTCGAAATACAATTACTAACTACTGAGCTTATTTATCCATTAACTCTTCCCTGCCAGTAGTTTCCTTTTTAAAGTTGCCAGCCACCGACTTGCATTTTAAGAATTCAATTGGTATTGTCTATGCCTTGGAATTTATGGGTGTTCAAGTCAAGTAATTAAAATATGTATTGAGTATTTGAGTTACGTTTCAGACCAAGTAATTAAAAATGTACTTTAAAAACTAGGTTAATGATGTAATTAGTTATTAATTACTTTTTTGAAGTCGTTTATTCAATGCTGCTCGGTGAACTTGTCTGTCTGTGTGTGCTGTGTTTCAGATTCTCTACCAGAGGAAAGTGTTGTAAATGAACCACCGGCCACTGAAGCAGAAGAACAGTGTCAAGCGGACAAGGTTGGTTTCTGCCTCTTTTCTATAGGCCTGGTTACACCTGATCCCTTCATGCCTTTTTTTCCCGATCTGATTTATGAAAACATTTACATTTGAGCACGTGAATGCATCTCCGCTAATCACATATGATTCCGACCTTCAAATCCTAGAGTTGAAGTCAGAATTATTCACCCCCCTGTTTATTTTTTCCCCCAATTTCTGTTTAACGGAGAGCAGATTATTTTAACACATTTTTAAGCATAATCATTTTAATAACTCATGTCTAATCACTGATTTATTTTATCTTTGCCATGATTACAGCAAATAAAATTTTACTAGATGTTTTTCAAGACACTTCTATACAGCTTAAAGTGACATTTAAATGCTTAACTAGGTTATTTAGGTTAACTAGCCAGGTTAGAGCAGGGGCTTAGCAACCAGGGGAATACGTCCCCCTCACGTTTAGAGACAGACCATTGAGAAACGAGTGATTAATAATAAAATGAGAAAACTTATGAGTGGATCTTATTCAGCTGCCCCCCACACACACTTTTAAAATGTCCGCTACGCTCCTGGGTTAGGGTAATTCAAGTTACTGTATAACAATGGTTTGTCTGAAAAAAAATATAGCTTAAGGGGGCTAATAATATTGACCTTAAAATGGGTTTAAAAAATGTAAAACAGCTTTTACTCTAGCCGAAATAAAACAAATAAGAATTTCTCCAGAAGAAAAAATATTAGAGGAAACACTGTGAAAATTTCCTGAATCTGTTCAACATCATCTGGGAAATATTTAAACAAGGGGGGCGAATAATTCTGACTTCAACTGTATATGCAAATTTAACTGTGTTACACTGACTTGCGTTGACATCAGATACACAGATTTTTAAAATATTATTATTTACAGAAGCGTAAGCTATATATCTTATTTGCCATTAAAACTATTTCATATGCAGGCGGATCCATGATTTCTGTTATAGGCTAAAGCCTGATTTATACTTCTGCGTCAGGTGACCGGCGTAACTCACGGCGCAGGCAATGCGCGTAGCTGTGCATTTATACTTCTGCTGCTGTCTCTGTTGGTCTGCATTAACACTTCTGAAACGCTAGTTGGCAGTGAGGTGTAAATGTTCCTCTGTGTCGAGTTTCTTCGCTGTTTTGCTTTTCCTGAACACTTCCGGGATGTACAAGTGGCTCAAACTCGCTCATTTTGAGGCAGGAACCGGCGGACGTGCAACAACTTTAACTATGAGGTAAACACAGAACAAAACTTTCCATCCGGAGCTCCTTCACGGGACTCCACACTTGTAAACAATCGCTAGCGCCATTCGCGCGGCTCTCAGTCCCGCCCAGACTTGTCAGCGCTACCAAGCTGACCAATCACAGAGCTTGCGCTACAGTTGTTGCGACGTGTAGTTACATTTTTTGAGAGGTGCACGTCAGTGACGCTGATGGCCACGGCGAAGGGCTATGCGTCAGCGCTGTAGCATACACCGGTGTTTGACGCAGAAGTATAAATCAGCCTTTAGCAAAGCATATGTTTTTGTTGTGCAGATACGTGCAAGACATCATTCAAAACTGTAAAGGATTTACATTAATTAGAGTATAACACCACACCACATCTAGAAAAAACAATTATTCTAAAAGTTATTAGACTGGAAACAAGACAAATAAGCTTTTTTTGTAGTTTTGTTTAATAATTAAAATAAAATGCAGAACACTTAAACAAAGCTGTATGTCTCCATATTCAGAACCATTAGAAACATTGGTAGACATGTCTTGTGTTTATGCCTCTATATTGTGTAAACAGACCTTTATTTATTTCTCAGCTTGACTTGTAAGGTCAACTATATGAATATGTATGTATGTATTAGGGTTGGGCGATGTTGACCAATTTGGCATTGTATGATGTCTAATGTGAAATATCACAATGGACGATGCCATCATCCTCGTAGGGTGTGGGTGGTTGTTAAATATCAATTAATTCAGAACGAAGTAATTAATTGTAGCCTACCGTTTTAACTACCTGACCCACATGGTCTTTGCTTTACACATAACCAAACCATGAATAAATACATTTATACACAAATGACCACCAGTCAATCACTTTTCTCCGCGGGACTCTGGCATGAATATGCAGTGATCTGTGTCATTATAATGGCTTTCCCCACAGCTGGTGGAGGAGACGAGAGTTTGTTTGGAGTTCACTGTAATTTGTATTGTGATTGATGATAACTTCATTATTTTATTATTATTATTATGAGGAAATAATAGCAAGTAAAGATGCTAGGGCTCGACCATTTCGGTCACATATGCACCCAAAATTTGATCTATGCCACCCTATAATATATTAGGAAGCATTTGTGCTAGTGCATACATTTTCACTGTTTTAGGAGACATTTTACAGAATTAATCTTTGCACCTAAAAATGCCAAACAGCAACAGAGTAAAACAGTTGTTATGTGAACTTGCTGAAGTAAAAAAAGTCTGCAATGCTTGCCCCGCCTTTGAGTTCTTCTTATTGGCTCACTGCTCTAGAACTGAACGCAAACGGATTGGTTAATATCAGCCGTCAATCACTCAGTCAATGCCTTCAGATTATAGGAGCTACAACTGTAAAAATGTGAAGCGCTGAAGATGAGAGAATGAAAATAACACTGGCAGATTTAGTTTTAGAAACCACCTACAGTTACTAATAATGGCACATCTTATTAGTGATCATGTGCTGAATGTTAATCCACCGTTTACACTTTTCCAAGAGTGGATAGAAGACTTCCAGTGTTTAAAGTCCGCTATAAAAATGACTAAAGCCATTCAGTGTAAAGTCTGCGGGACGGGGTTTGCAGGGAACAGCGTTTGCCACTGAGTCTACACATTTTAAGCGTGAGAGGTGCTGTATAATCCTTAAATTAATCCTCACCATGCTGTCAGCCGTGCAAGCGGCAGCTATATGTAAAATGTAACACAGCTCATGAAAAGACTGTTATTGCTATTTAGATGACATGCAAATAATAAGTTATATATCAATATAAATGTGGGGCGGAGAGATGGATCGTGATGCCAGCTCAGCATCGTGAAGTTTATCGGCCATCAACCTTAAAATGGCTTTAAAACTAGTAAAAACTGCTTTAATTCTAGCCAAAATAAAACAAATAAGACTTACTTCACAAGAACAAGTATTATCAGAGATAGTGTGAAAAATTCCTGAATAAATTCACAGAGTTATATATACAGAGTTATATATATATATATATGTATATATAAATACATTAAAAAAACTAAACAAATAGCAGCACAGTGTTCCCCTCAGATAATGTGAAAGTGTGTGTGTGTTTGCTCAGCAGACTGATGCTGCAGATGTGGATCAGCCGATCAGTGGAGCTCCAGCAGATGCCGGCAGCTCTGATTCAGTGTCTGCAGTAAAGCAGCCGGAAGCGGCTCCAGTCCAGCACCAGCTCACAGACACGGCGGCAGCAGCAGAATCCTCCAGCAGCTTCTTCTGCTATATCTGCAACATCACCTGCCATAACCAGCAGGTACCATTACACTCAACTGTTCCCTGATCACCTTTGCTGCCGCTGTTGATCGGCAGATGTGAACTAGGGGATGTGTTCATAAAACTGTATGGCCATTTAAAATAAAATACCATGATATACAATAATATAGTTATGATATATGATATGATGCATTATATATGATATGCTATTAATGATTTATATGATGTGGTACTTGATATAATGTATAGGATATGATACAATACAATATTATATATGATTTGAAATATGATGCAATATATGATATGAAATGTATGATGTAATATAATGCATATGATCAATTCAAATTTTATTTATAAAGCACTTTAAAACAACACAGTCGACCAAAGTGCTGTTAACAGAGAGTAAAACAATGTGTGATGTATCATATGCTATATTATATCTATGTTTTATATAAATATATGATATGATATGAAATGATATAATATACAATGTTATATTCATTATATATGATGCATGATATGATAAGTTACAATATATGATCCATGATATATGATATGATATCTGGTATGTTGTGTGCGCAGAATTTCCAGAGCCATATGAACGGACTGACGCACCAGCAGAAGATGATGGAGATCCAGCACATGAGTAACGCCTGTCTGGTCACATTACTGCCGCGCGTCCAGGAGTCACTGCAGGGAGCAGCTCGCAAAGACGGGTCAGACTTTAGTTCTTTCTCAAATATGATTTACGGAAGACACAGAATTTGTGTAAGATTCTGTCCATGTTCCCAAATGACGCTATCCACTGGCATGGGGAAAGGTTAAATGCGTTAAATCCTCCCAATGGGGTGAGCTTAATAATTGGGTTTTAGCTTTGAACTAACATTATTTAGCTCCCCCCATTTGCTCTTTATTTTGCTTATGTTATACATGAAAAGGGTCATATTTCGGTTATATGGGTCTCCAACATCATACTGATATGCATGCATGGTCAAAAAACACTTTCATGGTCTTATAAGCTAATCTGCGCTGATTGGACCGATGACAGCCTGTTGCGATTGGTCGACAGCGTTCAGCGCTAGACAAATGCCTAGCCGAGACAAATACCCAGCGCGGTTTGTCAAGCCCCCGGCAGACGGGCCCGCGCATTAACCTCGTGATCGTCATAACCCCCCCGCACGGGATGTATGAACGGCACTTAGCAGTACAAAATGAAACCGATAGCGTGCGCATCATTTACTGAGCGTGATTTCCGTGACTGAGCTTTTCTCCCTTCTCAGCTGTGACTAAGATCATTTCTATTTGCAGTTATTGCTGCGGCACCTCTTGCATGAAGTGTTATATGTTCTCAGGGCTTACCTGTACTCTGCTTTGCCCAAAGATCCCATCCCCAGCCAGGGGGTTGTAGTGCTCACCAGCGTGTAGCAGGCTGCCTTTGTGCCTAATAAACTGGCCTTATTTTGCACGCACCCCTGCTGTATTGTCTGCCCATTCTTACAGGTCTCATACACCTGTCTTTTCTGATCCTTCCTTTAACAAACGAATGAAAGCTGTAAGCGTGTAGACTGCTGAATCACTTATTTCCCCTCACACTTCCAGTAATATCCAGGTGAGCACAGTGTCTTCTTGACTCGTGACTTCAGGATCTGTTTGTCTGTGTTAGTGGGCGGGGCGCAGGTTTAAATTTTCCCAGGTTTGTGCCTATAACAACTATGTTTCGTAGTCACGTCACGCCGAAACGGCTAAAGACTCGTTATGAAGACGATTCATTCTAACCACTGTGAGTCGACTCTTTTTTTTAATGAATCAATAGTTTTAAAAACTGTCCGCTTTCAGATTTAAGCCTTAGCTGGATATTTCCCTTCACTTAGATCTGTATTACACACTACATGAAGCTCTTTAAAGAGCCCATATTATACATGAAATAGGGTCATATCTTGGTTGTAAGGGTCTCCAACAACAGTTTAATATACATGCAAGGTCAAAAAACACTTTCATGGTCTTATAATCTGCATTTATTTTTACCTAATTATCCCAGCGACTCCCGTATGAATCGTCCAGTGATTCATTTGTTCCCAAACCCCTCCTTAGCGCCAAGCTAATCTGCGCTGATTGGACCGATGACAGTCTGTTGCGATTGGTCGACTGCCTTCAGTTAGAGAGTGAAATGGCCAATAGCTAATCAGCAATATAAAAAGTAATCACAGTTCATGCACGCTCGATAGTGTAGGCGTGGATTTTAGCTGCCACACACACACACAAAAACACACACACACGTCCGGACGACAACGCTCCCGCTTCCGCCCGCACCCGCCAGGTTTTAGCCTGAGAACCCGCTCCGTTTTCTGCCCGCCGCGCCCGATCCCGCTAGAGCGGGGGAGAACACAACCAAAAATCACCCAGCTATACAGTCCAGACAGCCAAGATGTCTGTATAAACACACACACAGCATCAAGCACACAAAGCTCTCTCTCTCTCTCTCTCTCTCTCTCTCTCTCTCTCTCTCTCTCTCTCTCTCTCTCTCTCTCTCTCTCTCTCTCTCTCTCTCTCTCTCTCTCTCTCTCTCTCTCTCTCTCTCTCTCTCTCTCTCTCTCTCTCTCTCTCTCTCTCTCATACGCGCGCGTGCGCAATAACACACACACAAGCACCAAGCAGACTCTCTCTTTCTCATTCGCATAGCAATATCCGTGATATTGCTAGACAGCCCGCTCCCGTTCCAAATTAAACCCGTTACCGACCGCTCCTGCGATTTATTCGGAAATTTATTCCCGCGCCGCAGAAATCTGGCGCGGGGACAGCCGCGGGAATGCAGACCTCTACCACGGAGCTCCATACACAAAGCAGCACGCGTCGCGTTTTTAACGTGACTTTGCACACGATAAGAGAATATAGCCAGTTAACCTGATACAGTACACGCGGTTACAAGTAACAAATCACAACTAAATACATTTGCAAGCTAGTCAACGAGGCAACAACTTTAACCGCACGTACTTACACTTGAGAAAGGTAGGAAGAAACCCATCCTGACATGTCCATCAGTAAGTTACTCTTTACTGATCCTTCCTTTAACAAACGCAGATGAAGTATTCTTTGTAGCATGTAGCTTCCAGAAGTTTCCAGTAGTTTCCGACTGCTTGGCTATAATGCTGATGTTTCATCTTTGGGTAGAGACTCAATATATCCATCTGCTGTGTGACTTCAATCGACCGGCATGTTTGTGTGCGTGTATGTGTGTGTGTCTGGGTTTCTGCGTCAGAGGGCGGGGCCTCAGGTTTGAAATCTCCCGGGTTTGCGCGTGCACGTGAATAACTTGGTTTCGTTCGTACGTCATGGCGAAACACCTAATGAATCGGTATCAAGGCGACTCGTTTGAAGCACTATGAGTCGACTCTTTTATAGATGAATCAACCGTTTTAAACACTGTACACTAACAGATTTAAGCCTAAGCTGGATACTTCACTTCACTTAGAGCTGTGTTACACACTACATGGAGGGGAATTTTCAAAAACCCATAATATGGGCTCTTTAAGGAAAAACTCACTTAATTTTGACACCTTATTTCTGAAAACCTTTTTTTTTTTTGCTTGTCAAGACAAAATGCTTTAAGAATGTTTAGATATTTGGACAAGCAAGACAAGAACCAAGTAAGAAAAACTGAAAAGTTAAATTTGCTCAAATAATGCATTGAGAGGACATTTAGAGTGCTTTCACACCTGCCTTATTTAGTTGGATTGAATCGCACTAGAGTTTGTTTCCCCTTTTGGTGCGGTTGGTTTGGGCAGGTGAGAATGCATCAATCGTACTCGAGTGCGCACCAAAAGCGGACCAAATAAGCGTACTGAGACCTGCTTGAAGAGGTGGACTCGGTACGCTCTCAAACCAACCCTGGAGCGGTTCGTTTGTGCTGAGAATATGATCCGTACTAAAACAGGTCCAACCGCAAAAAGCACTGCACCTTTTGGACTAATCCAGCTACCGTAGGCCGATTCGCTGTGCATTTTGGGATATGGAGGAAAATATTTGTTGACAGAGCTTTACCAACAGAGAGAGAGAGAGAGAGAGAGAGAGAGAGAGAGAGAGAGTAACATTACCTCAAGGATCGTTGGTAATATTTCCGGAAGATGAGCATGTCGCAGTTTAGCTAAATTAATTCACACCTCCTCCTGAAGTGACGAGTGATGCATTAAACACTGTTTTCCAGCCGTGGCCGTGCTTCATTTTCATAATGTCTAGTTTGTCTAAAGCAAGGATACAATCAGCCAGCGCAGTCGTCCCTCCAGAGTAAAAGGTTTTGTTTACCTGCGGGAGTTCACTGGCATTTTCCCGCACGAGAATTCTGACCAATCAATAAGCAGTTTAGGAAATATATTCAACAACATCTGGCCAATGAGAGATGTGGATTTTGTCAGATGACTGCATTTTGGTTCGTTTCATCTGGTTCGGACTAAAGCCAGCAGTGTGGTGTGAAAACGACCCAAAGACGGCAGAAAATGCAACAATGTATCATTTATTACCCTTGATGCGGACCAAATGAAGTGAACAGCAGATGTGAAAGCACCCTTAGTTTCTGCTGCTTATATACATATCTACATATACCACAGAAACGGTATAACAAAAAAACTTGACTTTTCGTCAGGTGACCGGCGTAACTCACGGCGCAGGCAACGCGCGTGGCTGTGCATTTATACTTCTGCGCGCTGTCTCTGTTGATCTGCATTAACACTTCCGAAACGCTAGTTGGCAGTGAGGTGTAAATGTTCCTCTGTGTCGAGTTTCTTCGCTGTTTTGCTTTTCCTGAACACTTCCGGGATGTACAAGTGGCTCAAACTCGCTCATTTTGAGGCAGGAACCGGCGGACGTGCAACAACTTTAACTATGAGATAAACACAAACCAAAACTTTCCATCCGGAGCTCCTTCACGGGACTCCACTCTTGTAAACAATCGCTAGCGCCATTCGCGCGGCTCTCGGTCCCGCCCAGACTTGTCAGCGCTACCAAGCCGACCAATCACAGAGCTTGCGCTACAGTAGTTGCGACGTGTAGTTACATTTTTTGAGAGGTGCACGTCAGTGACGCCGATGGCCACGGCGAAGGGCTATGCGTCAGCGCCGTAGCATACGCCGGCGTTTGACGCAGAAGTATAAATCAGCCTTAAACCGCAGCAACCCTGAAACTGGTTATCATCCCATGCCTAGTGTGCGTCCCTAATTGTTTTAATTTTTTTCCCCCATTTGTGAACTGGTCATCTGCAGTGAGAAGAGGCCTGGTCTGCAGAGATGGTGCTCCACCTGCCAGACTCACTTCACCAGCAACGTCATGGAGCACCGCAGAACCAAGGAGCACAAGGTGAGCGGGAAGCTGTAAAGTGGCACACAGTTGAAGTCAATATTATTCACCTTCCTGTGATCTTTGTCAAATATTTCGCAAATGATGCTTATTAGACTCAGGAAGTTTTCACAGTGTTTCCTCCAGAGGTGGGAGTAAGTCACACATGTGCAAGTCTCAAGCCATTACCTTCAAGTCTCAAGCAAGTCATTTTTTGTCAGACTTTCATCACTAGTGAATCAGATGGCTTTCTGCTCAGGGGAATGTGTGTGCTTACTTTAAAGTAATTAAAATATTATACTATTAATTAAACGAGACCCTAAATGACAAAACCAATCTTAAAGGGCACATGTAAATTTTTTTTAGGGGAATAAAAACAGAATATCTTTAAAAATGTTCATAAATAATCATATTTACAAGATTTAAACATGTAGATTATTTAAGGAAGGCTATTGCTTTGATTACTAATGGTGTAGGTATATTTTGCAGCAAGTTTAAATGAGTAAGGAGAGAGGATTTTCCACTACATCGATCACGGATGTTTGGTTAAAATAGGCGGATACAAAACAGTGTAGAAGAATGATAATAACTGTAAAAAATGTGTCACTAAATATACTTAGACCGAGTCAGACTAAATAGTACAAACTTTGATCAGCCGTCTTGTTTTGTAATCTTTAAACCATTTTTCCATTGTTGATCACCGCATTCTGATGGCTGAATGGCAAAAGAATCGTTCAAAAGAATCGTTCAAAAGAATCGTTCAAATGAATTGTTCAAATGAATCTAATGAATCATTTATAGCGTTTTTTTCATAGACTGTAAAATATATGGACGTAGTATCCGTGACGTCACCCATAGGTTTCTAAAGAGCGCAAAAGAAGCCACAAGTAGGCGCGGCCAACCGTCGCCATTTTGTTCGCGCGTCATCACACCAACGTCGGGATACCAAACATGGGCAAAGAGGCGGAGAGGGGGCGGAGCTACAGACGCATGCTGCATTTTGCTTGGACCTGGTTCAGACACCTGGTTTACTTTGGGAGAACGCTTAATACTTTATCACCTGCGACTCGTTTGTGTTCTGACCACTTGTGCTTGGTTGTACACTATATCAATAAAGTGTTTAGACTTTTAAAAACACTGCTGTAACACATTGAGCCACTAAACATTGTTCTTATGACGTTTTTCAACAGGAGGAAAACGCGAATTACATCCAAACACTTCAGATATAGTCTGTGTTAGCTAATGTAAGACTATTGATGATCTCCAGCATAACACTGTATGACAACACTTCAGATGACTGTTCTAGAGCCTACAGCTAATCAATTCGTCAGATTCTGGAGTGCATTACAGCTCTAAATATAAATATAAACGATAAATGATCTTAAATAAAACAAATACATGTATAGAGATGGTATATGAGTATATAACTGTACTCACATGGGAAACGGAGGCCACGTGAATGGTTTGTGAGCACAATTAAGTGCACTCAGCATGTCATTCCATCAAATAATTGTAGGAAACAAGTCCAAAAGGCAGTTGACTGTGTAAAGCCACATAAAACAACACAGAAATACGATAAATATGCCGAGTTCAGTGGCTAATCTGCAGGATTCAGCTGAGGTGACGTGACGGCGACCAACGAGACCTAGCTGTCACTCAAGTGGCCACGCCCTTAATTATGCAAACTTAATATAACTTAATATAAAGGAAACGGATGAGTTATAAAAAAAATTCACCCCCTCACAGTTGTCATGAAGGGTAATATTAGCTGTATTGACCAAAATCTTTCTTTGTAGCAGGCTGTAAACACCTTTATTTCTTCTGTAAAGTTGGCCATTCTAACAGTGGGCTCAATTGAAATTTGCTCTGTTTTGGAGCCAGGAGCGGCCAGGACTAGCGGAATTTCGGATGAATTGCAGTTTTAGTTACTTCCGTATTGGCTTCCTGAGGGAGAGCGGGAGGTTGCCGCTTGGTTTTTTTCTGAAACAAATGATCCAGTCCAGATCCAGTTAATACTGTGCATGCGTGACTTAGAACTTTCGGTTTTGTTTTTAAATGCATAATATATAACAAACGGTTGCGTATTTAGGTTTTTTTTCAAGTCATTTAACTCCAAGTCAAGTCTCACGTCATGACAGCCAAGTCCGAGTCAAGTCGAGTCTTTTTTGGATATTTGTCAAGCAAGTCTCAAGTCCTAAATTTTGTGACCTGATTTCCTCTAATATTTGTTCTTCTGAAGAAAGTCTATTTGTTTTATTATGGCTAGAATAAAAGCAGTATTTAATTGTTTTTTAAGCCTTTTTAAGGTCAATATTATTCGCCCCTTAAGCTATATTAGTGTTGGATTGTCTCCAGAATAAACCACTGTTATACAATGACTTGCCTAATTACCCTAACTTTACCCTAATTACCCTAGTGAAGCCTTTACATGTCACTTTAAGCTGAACACTAGTGTCTTGAAGAATATCTAGTCTAATATTATTTACTGTCATTATGGCAAAGAGAAAATAAATAAGCTATTAGAGATGAGTTATTAACACTATTATGATTAGAAATGTGCTGGAATAATCTTCTCTCATTTAAACAGAAATTAGGGAAAAAATATACAGGAGGGCAAATAATTCTGACTTCAACTGTATGTTAAAATGAAGCAACATACTTATTTTAATCTTTAAAAATATATATAATATAAATAATTTTTGTTAACTTCCAGTTGCAACCATATCCGATCTAGCAACACCCGAGTTCCTTCTCCTCCGTCGTGTTATAACAGTAAATAAAATAGTTGTCATGCTAACTTTCTCGCAACAGTTGCCCCTCCCCGAGCTCTTCTGATTGGTTCACTTCTGTGAACTGACAGTGAGCTGTGCTGTGTGTAAAGGTTGAAGATCTTTTAACTTGACATGCCATCTTAAAAAAGCGGATCTTCAAAAGAAGCTGGTGTATCAGTCAAACACATCTGTTTACATTGAGCAACAATAGAACAGTAGCGCAATGCAAAGGGAAAACGCATTCTGTGAACGGCCCCTTAGTGATGCACAGCCCACATCAGACACTGTGGACAGGTGATGTAAACAGAAGATCCTGCAGCCGATTGTAATAAAGGTGTGTTTATGTGTGTGTGTGTGTGTGTGGGGGTGCAGCGCTTCAGTCGCTCCTCCAGCAGCAGTTGTACCGTCTGTAAGCTGAACTTCAGGACGGCCAGAGAGTTTGTGGAGCACATGCAGTCGGCGGAGCACAAGCAGAGAGTCCAGCAGGTCTGAGCTTGGTTTTTCATAAGGAAATGATGCTTTAAAAATATCAGTACAAGATCAGAAATGCTTTTTTGCACATTTTTAGTCTCAACCTAAAACTTGTGTGCACAATTATGATTAGTGCTGCACGGTACATGGTTTCAGTGTCTATATCGTAATGTGGTCATTCGCAATAGTTACATCGCAGCATATGCAGTGTTCAGTCTGGATTATAGTTTATCTTTAGCATGTTTGTGAGTAATGTGACTAACAATTTTAAAACCATTCAGCCATAAAAATGTACCAGATTTTGATCTATGCTTGTAGATTGTTTATTATATTTTGTGCAAATGCACTCTTGTACAGAAACATCCCAATCAATCTAAAATGATCAGCTTTTTCCAAGTAGATTTACAGTGCATCTGGAAAGTATTGACAGCGCTTGACTTTTCCACATTTGTTTATGTGACAGCCTTATTCCCAAAATGGATTAAACTTATTTATTTCCTCAACATTCTGCACACAATCCCCCATAATGACAATGTGAACAAAGAGTTTTTGAATTTGTTGCAGATTTATTCAAAATAAAAGCTGTAAAATCACCTGTACATCAGTATTCACAGCGTTTCAATACTCTATTGATGCACCTTCGTCAGCGATTACAGCCTCAAGTCTTTCTGAATATGATGCCACAAGCTCTGCACAGCTGTCCTTGGGAATGTTTGCCCATTCCTCTTTGCAGGACCTCTCAAGCTCTATCAGGTTGGATGGGAAGCGATGGTGTACAGCCATTTTCAGATCTATCCAGAGATGTTCAATAGGATTTAGGTCTGGGCTCTGGCTGGGCCACTCAAGGACATTCACCGAGTTGTTGTTGTGCCACTCCATTGATATTTTGGCGGTGTGCTTTGGGTCATTGTCCTGCTGGAAGATGAAGCATCGCCCCAGTCTGAGGTGGAGAGCACTCTTGTGCAGGTCTTCATTCAGGATGTCTCTGTACATTGCTGCATTCATCTTTCCCTCTATCCTGACTAGTCTTCCAGCTCCTGCTGCTGAAACACATCCCCACAGCATGATGCCAACACCACCATGCTTCACTGTAGGGATGCTGTTAGCCTGGTGATGAGCGCTGCCTGCTTTTCTCCAAACGTTACGCCTGGCGTTCACTCCAAAGTGTTCAGTTTGAGTCTCATCAGAGCAGAGAGTTTAGTTTCTGATGGTCTGAGAGTCCTCCTTGTGGCAAACTCCAGGCGGGGAGTGTCTTCCGTCTGGCCGCTCTACCGTACAGGCCTGATTGGTGGATTGCTGCACAGATGGTTGTCCTTCTGTAAGGTTCTCCTCTCTCCACAGAAGAGCGCTGGAGCTCAGACAGAGTGACCATCGGGTTATTGATCACCGCCCTGACTAAGGCTCTTCTCCCCCGATCACTCAGCTTAGATGGCCGGCCAGCTCTGGAAGAGTCCTGCTGGTTAAACATCTTCCACTGACGGATGATGGAGGCCGCTGTGCTCATTGAACTTTCAGAGCAGCAGAAATGTTTCTGTAACCTTCCCCAGCCTTGTGCCTCCAGACAATCCTGTCTCTGAGGTCTACAGGCAGTTCCTTTGTCTTCATGCTTGATTTGTGCTTTGACATGCACTGTCAACCCTGAGCCCTTATATAGACAGGTGTAGCCTTTTCAGACCATCTCTTATCAACCAAGACTTTTGAGGAAATAAATGAATGTAATCCATTTTGGAATAAGGCTGTAACATAAAAAATGTGGAAAAAGTGGAGCGCTATCAATACTTTCCAGATGCACTGTATTCTAGTAAAAGAAACTGATCTGCATTAAATAGATCAGTTTAAAATGATTTAATGCAAGATCAAATATAACAAATTTATTTGCGTTCAGTGCATATTAGATGCATGTGTCTTTACTTCAAATAACTTACAGGTGAAATAATGTTAAATGTAACAAAAATGAAGCAGCACACTTATTTTGAGCTGTACTTGTTTATATATATATATATATATATATATATATATATATATATATATATATATATATATATATATATATATATATATATATATATATATATATATATATGTGTATGTATGTATTTATTATGTGTATGTGATACACACACATACATAGGAACAAAACTAATGTTAGATATATAAATTTAAATGAAATTTGAATCATACACACACACACACACACGCACACACATTTTATTGCTAAATATAAATATTTTCTCAAATATATGCACACCTGTGTGTATTTATGTATACATACATACTATTACACACACTTAAATCATGCCCGAAAAAAAACTTGTATTTTGGATGTGATTAACTTTTGCCCAGCACTGTTATAGACAGAGATAGATAGCTAGATTGATGGATAGAGAGAGAGAGAGAGAGAGAGATGGGATTGTGATTCACCAAATGATTCTTGTTCTGATAGCGGCAGACAATAGAGTCACACACAGTAAAAGTGCATTATAGTGATTTTTTTCCCCTCTAAATTGTTGCACTTGTATTATTATCAATTTTTAAATGATTCCTTTTCTGATTCTTGAAAAGCCCTTTACATCATTGTCTTACAGAAAATATAAACATATAGATATGGTCACATTAACATGACAAATAAATGCTTTGACTAGCACTCTGGCAGTGCTCTAATGGAGTGAGTTTTGTTGTTTGTCAGCTGTGGAAGGAGTCTGGCTCCGGTTCTGTAGAGGAACTGAACACTGTGATGTTACTGGGAGAAGACGATGGAGAATTCTGCAGCGACGATGAGCGCGAGGATGAGGAGAACGGCAAGGTGGGTGTGTGTTTTCTGCTCTCTAACTCATTACGCCTGCAGTAGAGCATCAGCGGTTAATTGAAATGAAATCGTTGGGTTGGTCTTCTGTAGTAATGCTAGTATCTTGCAAAATAAAATGTCTGTGTGTGTGTGTGTTCGTCTTCCAGGAGGGTCTTTCTGCACAGATGGAGGTCACAATGGAAGATCTGGATGAAGACGAGGAGTTTGACTCAGACACAGTGTATGGTGAGTAATAAACACAAAATAATATTAATATGAACAGGGTAAGCGAAATAAACTTCTTTCAAAGGGAAAACAGCATTATTTTGCTTTCCCCATTCCCCCAAAACAACATTATTTTGCTTATTTTATTTTATTTTTTTACTGCAAAAATAAGTGCATTTATATATAAAAGTAAGTCAAACAGCAAAAAATTTGAGTGGCGCCAAATAAAAGAAAGCAATATAACAAATAGCCCAAAACTAGCTGAAAATGACCCTCGAAACTACCTTACAGAAAATAAACAAACAAAATATCTTCATTTGCACCAAGAGGCAACCTCCCGCTCTCCCTCGTGAAGCAAATACGGAAGTACAGAAATCCCAGAAGGGATGGAACATTTTTTATTTTTATTTTTTTTAAAGACTTTCTACTTTTAAACTTTTGTGACAGAAATAAAGCATTTAGAATTTAAAGCATTTAAAGCAATAAAACATTTATATATATATATATATATATATATATATATATATAAATAATGATAAATAGCATGACAATAATAACAGCAACAATATTAAATAAAAAGGAGTAAATAAAATAATAATAGTAAAAAATAATAATAATAAAAAAATAAATAAAAACATGATAAAAGTGGGGGAGGGGGGGGAATAAAAAGGGGGGGGGGTTGGAGAAGGTGATGTCAATGAATGAACAAACTTAGAAGCGACTGAAAGTAAGTTATGAGGGGTTGCCATTTATCATAAAAAGATGTGTAATTGGCAGAGCGAGAGCATCTGATCTTTTCTACCTTCAGAAAGTACATGGTGTCCACAAGCCACTGTGAAACACTTGGTGGTTTAGTCGACTTCCACAGAAATAAGATCCGACGTCTAGCTAATAATGAGGTAAAGGCAAGTACCTCATATTTTGCTTTTTTTAAGGAAAAACTCACATCATTATTTCTCTAAACAACACTATATTTTTGCCCATCTAGAAAAGGCGCCTTTTAATTTGAGTTTGGACTAAAAACAAGACAAAAACTCTGAGTTAGAACATATGTTTTGCAGTGTATCGTGTGAAGTATTCACGTTTGTTATTAAATTAATTGAAATGCAGTGCCAATGATGCAATTACTGCTTAGCAAGTCACCCAAGTCACTATAGAATAATCATCGTCTGCATGTGTGATTTGTAACCCTGTGTTTGGTTGTTGTCATCAGGATCTAGTTTTGTGGTTCCTGTGTCCGGGTTTCTCTGTCGACTCTGTGATCAGTTTTATCACTATGAGTCTTCGGCTCGACACGCTCACTGCAAGACCCTCAAACACTTCCAGAATCTGAAGGTAGGCCCAAGATAATGCTAACAAAGGAAAAACACAACATCTGTGGTAGTTTTTAACTGGATAACTTTGTATTTTGTCTATTAAGAGACTACGCTTTCCTACCCTTCACAGGTTTTTATTGCAATCCGTGTTTTAGGTGTATTAGGATAATATTATGACATGTGCTGAGTGTGGTATGAGCTGAAGCTAATTACATTTAGGAGCGAAATATAAGGCATGCATGCATACAGTGGTGTGAAAAAGTTTGTGTCACACTTTAATATTTCAGATCATCAATAATTTAAATATTAATCAAAGTAAACGCATCATGCAGTTTGGAAACAAAGCTTTTTATTACTAAGGGAAAACCCGAAATCAGTAATTCACACCATTGTATGTATGTATGTATATATATATATATATATATATATATGTATGTAGGTGTATATATATATATATATATAT